TTCGGGTTAGACCCCCATTTTTTCCCGCAATGTTTCTCGAGGTGTTTCTACATACCATTAAGGCTTTTATGACCTTACTTCTTATATATGTTCAGAAAGTTTGTTGTCCAAGGTTTGGGATTAGACATAAGTATTTTATTTCTTTTAATTTAACGGTTTTGAGATGATTGAGTACTCTTTAGGCTACTAGTGTTATTTTGTCCTCGTGGCACCATCTTAAGGTGTGTTCTAATCCTCTTTGGACTATACAGGGTGTTCATTAAAGAATGGGCCAAACTTCAGATGTGGTTAGTGTAGACAAAAATAAGTTCATTTAAGCCAATTTACCTTAGTAAAATTTTGCTTGCTTAAGAAGTTACAGGGTGGAAAAAAAATTTTTTTTTCAATATTTTTACGATCATTCAAATATTTTTTGAGTAAATATACCCAAATTTTTAAAATGTTTTAAAATGTAAATGTAAGAATACGAGCTTTTTGTTGCATTACATGTACAGATCGTTCTAAACTGGCGTGCCAATGTAGTATTTACTTCAGATTTTGTTTAAGAATGAACATTTTTGAAAAATGATTAACTATTTTGAAAAAGCGTTCAATTTGCTTTAAAAAAGATGTACTTGTTGCATGTCGCTAAAATGCATCATTTGAAGGAAAACATAATTTAAAGTTAGTACTGCAAATGTATGGATTACTCCATAATTTCTCAATTTGATAATATTAAATCTAGTAGGTAGTTGTCAAATGTAGTAGCACTGTCAGGATTACATACAAGCATCAGAGTTTTGAGTGATAAAATTCATTATTTTTATACAATGCCGCTACATAACGTTTTCTCAAACAGTGAAATGACCGATATGATATCAGTTTACGCCCAACAAGGTTTTAATGCAAGCGCTTCAGCAAGAAGTTACACAGATTTGTATCCTAATCGTAGACAGCCCAACCGAAAATTGTTTTAATGTCTATTCAGTAGACTAAGAGAAACCGGAAGTTTTCGCCCAAAAAGAGTCAATGGACGATCTATCCTATGGTTCGAGATTTACAGCAGGAGGAAGAGGTATTAAATCTTGTTGAAGATGGCCCAGCAACAAGAATCCGTCATATATCTGCCAATGTTGGTTTATGTCAGAGTACTGTGTCTAATATTTTACATGAACAACAATTATACCAGTCCAAAATCTACTGCCAGATGATATTTTAGCGAGAACAAATTTTAGTTAGTTTGTCTTAAATAAAAATAGACAAGATCCATTTTTTGTAAATAAAATTATATTCATTGATGAAGCAACATTTACGAGAAGAAGAATTTTCAAGTACAAAAATGCTCACACATGGGCTGTAGAAAATCCAAACAGTACGAGAGTGCGGCACTTTCAGCATAAATTTAAATTAAGCATTTTTTGTATAGTCGAAGATAACCTTACAGGACCAGGACCTTTTGAATTTCTAACAAAAATGACTGGATATGATTACTTACATTTCCTCGAGTACAACTTATTTTATCTGCTAGATGATGTTCCTTTAAATATTAGAGTAGGTATGTGGTATTTACAAGATGGCGCCCCTGCCTATTATTCCATAGCAGTACGAAATCATCTAAATAACGTATTCCCCCATCGATGGATTGGACGAGGAAGTAAACATCCATGGCTTGCACGTAGCCCAGATTTGTACCCTCTGGATTTTTATTTCTGGGGTCATATTAAGACTAGTTTATTCTGACTGTTGTTACCAGAAATGAATTATGACAAAAAATAGTAATAGCAGCTAATGTTATTCGACAAGACCATTCATTCTTCGCAGTTGGAAGAAATTTCTTGAAAAGATGTAGAAAATGCATTGAAGTAAATGGCGGACATTTTGAACAAATAATTTGATAAATAAATTTGAAAATTCGGAAACAAATCTCACAAATTATTAAGATCATCCCCAGACCCCAAATGTGAAAACAAATATTTGTAGATTTGAAAAAAAACCTGTCATTGGCTGGAGTGGAACCCACATCATCACGTTTGCCGAACGTGTGCCCTTACCGTGAGGCTGTCAAGATATTGACATTGACTGTCAAGATTCCTAACGGAAATTTTAGATGGTAGGGTACAGAGATTAGGGACATAAAGATTGGAAACGCAACGACCGCAGCAACGATGGCGTCATCTAGCGTCTCAGATGTTAACTACAGGTCTACGTCGTTTGTAGAGAGACCAGTGTTGCCAAATATTTTTTTGAGAGATCGTACAAATATAGTAGAAAATGGTATTTCAACAAAAAAATGTACAATAGATACATGCATAGCATAATATAACTTAAATGGAATGACAAAAAAAACTTTGGCATGATAATTTATTTATCTGTTTATAAAAATGTTTACAACGAAACAAAAACTAAAGGAAATACATGAAACTTTTAATAAACACATTTTAAAGTAATCAATGAATGTCACTTGAAAGTGATTGAAATTTTGCATGCAAGCTTTTCTTATGCCGTGATAGTCGGTGTACAAAATCACCATGATCAAAATCACGATAAGTCAGAACGAAAATGACTGCCTGCAGAAATTACGAACGGCCTATGAATCTTTGCATGTAGTTTTTAAGTTTTATTGTTTTATGTTCTGTAGTTGTTGCAGACATTTAAATATTTTTACGTACGATCAAGGTCTGTGTTACGATCTTACTGATGCAATCATACATCGTACAGAGAGTTAAAAAATCGTATAAATACAATTTAAATCGTACGGTTGGCAACACTGAGACAGACAGTAGACGTGGACAGCAGTAGACAGTTTGTAAATATAAATGTCAGTTTTATGTATATCGAAGAATCCTGAATTTAAATTTTAAATTTTGAGTTCATGATTGTGTTATCCTCTAGATGAACTAAGCAAAATAGTTGTGGCTGTTTTTGTGTGAAATTTGAGGACAATATTTATATTTTGTAATATTACAATAAGTCGGGGAACGTATTGCATTAGTAACACATGCCACATGAACAAATTTAACAATCCCAATGTGGCGTTCTTTAATTAACCAAAGTACATAAGATCTATTCATGTAAGTAACACAAATAGTAATCAACTTTTGTCACAAAGTAGGTATTTATGTATTATTTATTATTTTAGAACAAGAAAATGGCTTCAAAACGTTAGAAAGAAGATTTGATATAGGACGAAAAATATCTGAATTCCCATTATTAAATTTGCAGTCAACATTTTTAAATCATTGGCAATTCGTTTGGAAAATAAAAACAAAAATGCAATGTTACAAATAACAATCAAAAATTTAAAAATATTTGTCATGAATATAGATTTACAATAATTAATCGATAATAGACTGTAAGTGTAGTATTCTTTTTAATAAATAATTTAGCGTAATTACATTATGGGCGTTTCCTATCTTTATCTCCCTTATCTCTGGTAGGGTAGTTCTAGCCAGACAACGTTCAGGTTTCTTCTCAAATGCAGCATCATATTTCAGATAATTCTGACTTTTCGAAATTCGATTTGCCATTTTCAAATAATTTGAAATGAATTTTTCGATTTTGCTATTGTTCTTAGTTTGAAATTGTTAAGTTTTTTAATTTGTTATTTTTAAACATTTTTTATCATTTATGTTGTCATATTTTTACGTTGTTTCAGTATCTACTAAATATTTAATAAAGTTTCGAATTAATTTGTATTATGTATTATCTTTAGATTTAACTTTATCAAATTGAGAAATTTTGGAGTAATCCATACATTTGCATTTCTAACTTTAAATTAAGTTTTCCTTCAAATGATGCATTTTAGCGACATGCAACAAGTATATCTTTTTTAAAGCAAATTGAACGCCTTTTCAAAATAATAAATTATTTTTCAAAAATGTCCATTCTTAAAAAAAAATTGAAATAAATACTAGATTGGCACGCCAGTTTAGAACGCCCTGTACAAGTAATGCAACAAAAAAGATGGTACTCGTTTGTATCACCCAAAAAAATCTTACTTTCACAAAATTTGGTTATATTTACTCAAAAAATATTTGAATAATCGTAAAAATATTGAAAAAAAATATTTTCTCCACCCTGTAACTTCTTAAGCAAGCAAAATTCTCCTAAGGTAAATTGGCTTAAATAAACTTATTTTTTTCCACACCAACCACATCTGAAGTTTGGCCCATTCTTTAATCACACAGCATATTTTCAAACTTTCCTCTACAAAATACGACTGACCTAACATTTACAGGATATCTCTGAGGATATGCCAAATATGCATAAGAAGTTCGTCTACTGGCATTATTAATACAAAAATATCTGATAACTTTACTGCAAAGTTATCAAATATATTGAATCTAATCAAAAAAGTCTATAAAAATAAAATTTTAAACTTTTTCTAAAATTTCTCCATTACGGTATGTTTTTGACAAATAATGTATAGGACGAAAATTATAACGAATGACATCACAAACAATTCGTATTTAAAGAATGTGCTTCTCTAATCATAAATAAAATAAATATACATTAAAATAGAAAAACTACCCCTTGTTGCGCTATTCCCAAAATCTGATCAGCTCACCGCGGATAGAATAAAGCTTGAGTTAAAAATGTGGTGTTTTTCATTTTGTTTGTTTTTGAGTTATCGTGGATACATGCACACAGTCATACACACACATCGCGAAAATGGTCAAAAGTAAAGAGTAAATATGCGTCAAAAAATCTTGAATCCTATACTTTCCTCACTGGTTACAGGAAAGTAAAAATGTTTAATTTAATAATTTTTTATTACTGTTCCTAATTTTGATTTCATTGTACATTAAAATAAATATTATTGAAAAGAAAATAAAGTTTCGAAAAACTTCCTATACAAAATTCGTCAATTAGTGTAACAACACGAAATTTTTACATTCTAAACAAATTGCTTCAATTCTTTGCAAGTATACCTATAACATTTGCAAAATTTATTTAAAAAAACAATAATCATTATTTAAAATCACTTTGTATAATGCATATTAAAATCTTTCAATACTTACATTGAAACCGGCAGGCTGCAGGCATAAAAAATCGATTAACCACGTGAACTAAACCGCCGCAACTTAAAATAATAATTAGAAACGCAAATTAAATCGTATTAATTGTCCACAACTTCCAAGACACTCTGTATACCACATACCTACTCGCACTCCTAAGTAACAACAAGAGATAACAGAGAAAAATGATATCAATAAAAAAATTACCGCTGGCAATTTTGTTTGTTGGAGTTGGAGAGTGCGTTTGCTCTGCATCTGCGCCGTGAGTTGTCCTAGGACGGGATTTCAGGACCCTTTTCCCTGTTTCCCGTTGTCTGTCTCACTTTATTTGTCCCTTTGACCTAAAAATAAGTATGCCAAACGTGCAAACTATTTAAACGTACACTGTCACATGTTGACAATAAAATATTTTTTTTGGAAAAGCGCAATATGATCATGGTTAGTATGGATCCAAATATACAAAGTGTGTCACCGAAAAAAATCCACGAAGTATTTCATAAAGATGCTATATAAAAGTCAATAAAAAAAAACAGAACTAGATTTTAAAATAATACAAAATTAAAGGTAGGTACCTACCTAGAAGTAAATCGATCATCCTTTAGTTTGTTTAGAAAGTATAGGAATCATGATTTTTCGATGGACCTTTTGAAATGAAAATAGGATATTTTAGCTTATAAAATTAAATATAGAAACTCTATAACAATCTTTAAAAAAATCATTTTTGAATATTTTATCTTACTGGGAAAATGTAGTAGTTCTCTTGGAATATGATAGAACATTAAAAAATAAGATGACAAGTTCCCATAAATTTTTTTCTTAGCGGCCCTCCCTACGGAGATATGGCCTCCAAAAGGACGCTACTGGAAATCAAATTTTCTTGAATAACTTTCAAACTACGTAATATAATTTAATGAAAATTTAATGTGATAAACAGTAGTAAGAACATCTTAAAATATAATTAGCTTGTTTAGTTTACCAAAAACGGAAAAAGTTTTTCCGTTTTTTCCGAATTTTCACTAACCGTTCTACGATTTCTTATGCCCCAACTTGCCTCCGCCTCTCGGCAGCGACTTGGAAGGGTCAGCTGGCTTCATGCCGAAGCACAGCTTTTTATCTTTCTCGACCTTTGAACAGGTGAGACTGTTTATTTCTACGTGTTGGGATGCGCCCCCACGTTTTATCTTAAATTGCAACCAGCCTCAAGTTATGGTGGAGAACAGGGACCGTATTGTGGCAACCCTTTTTTAATCTATTGATATATTAATTTTCATGCTACTTCTACATTTATTGACGATATCTCTGATGATGGCCTAACACGCTGAAAGCGCTAAGACTAATATCACAGCTCATACAATACAGCTAAAACACTCTCTTGGCGGCAACGGTTTGCGTCGATTTCGTCGCGCATCGCTTAAGCTCCGCCTTCGAAGGGAAAAGACGGTTTTGGCGTTCAGAAACGTACTTAGGTAAGGTGTTGAGTCGTGCGTATAATTTCGTTGATTGTATAATTTCGTGGAGCCTATAATTTCGTTGATTTTGTTTAAGTCAAAGGTACTGTTATTATTTTGGTGACTCTTTAGCTGTGAGTAGAATGAGTGAAAAAAAAAGACATCATTCTGTTTGTGCAGTCAAAAGCTGTTTTAATAAGGGTTATACCTGCAAGAAAACATTCTTTAGTTTTCCCAAGGACCCAAACCGATAAGTACCACATTATAAGAAATTTTCATTGTTAAAAATATAATTTATACAGGGTATCCCATTAGTGCGTTATTGTTCATTATTTTGTTGTAGACACCCAAGAAAGTTTTAAATAAAAGTTATATGGATTTGAAAAATATCTACATATTTTAAAAATATCTTTGGATATACAGGGTGTCACGTTTTTGCCAGGCAAATTAAAATGTACGTTTTTTAAATGGAACACCTTGTATTTTATTTTATGATAAAATTATTAACACCCTAAATTATTGTAAAGACGAATTGATACAGAAAAATTTTATCAGGTATGTGTGTGGTTACCTTTTAATAAAAGCCTTGCGGATCCACTCCTCTGCGATACCTGTCTTAAATATAACAAAGATCACGTCGAATTAGATGATTTTTCTTTTTATTGCTTTTTAAAGGCATATGATAACGCCAATCCAGATACATTTGGAAATCTGTAACTGTCAAATGATGAATTTGTAGAACTAATATTCAATATTGAAAAGATATTTCAAAATAATTTTGAAGAATTGGCTACAAAAAATAACATTTGTACCACACTTTTAGAATTAATTAACCCAATACCCTTTAGTCATCCATGCTAACGTTTTCCAAAAGAATAACTTATTTTATTGTATGTTTAATCTCATTAACTAAAAAATATACTGACAATTAGTTTGACAGAATTGCCATTTATTTAAAATTTTAAAAATAATAGCAGTCGGTTGATTAAAATATGAACGGTGATTGGCGAATTTATTTTTTTTGCAGTGTTCTCACTACCTAGAATGGATATGAAATATATTCGTTCAATTGAAGGCAATAACATACTTTTTCGTTTTGTAATCTGTGCATGGATATTAGCCAATCTACGCACATACTACAAAACGAAAAAGTATGTTATTGCGTTCAACTACGAATATATTTCATATCCATTTTAGGTAGTGAGAACACTTTAACAAAATTAAATCTACAAATCACAGTTCATATTTTGGTCACCCAACTCCTATTATTTAAAATTTTTTAAATAAGTGACAATTCTGTTAAACTAATTGTCAATATATATTTTAGTTATTGATATTAAATAAACATTAAAATTTTTGTGTAGACTCGATAAATAATAGCATTTTTGTTTTTATTGTGTCCACATTTAAAAAAAAATAAATTTTAATCAAACTACATGATACTAATTTAATTACGAGTATTAAAACTAAAGTCCTGAAAGTTTCGGCCTTCCACGCGAAAAGCCCGGGATCGAATCTAGGCCGAGGACTAATTAATTTTTCATGTTTATTTTATTTTATAAATTAGTCAACTTCGTAAATTATTTTAAAATTAGTTATTTTGTCTAAATAACCTAAAATAATTTTTTAAATTTGTAGATTTTCGTTAGTGGGTCGTAGAAAAAATATACTGACCATATCGAGTGGATTGTTCATATCACAATCAGACGATTGAGTACTCTGCCTACGACGTCGTGCTCAAACTTCGTCTTTGTGTGATATTGCTATCATATCCACCCTTGTTGAACAAACTATAATTTATTTGTTTTCTTGGTTTAAACCAAAACTTAAGTTTTACATCAGAAATAGGAACTAAATTAATTTACTTTTCAAGTTTTCTTGTAAAAATCGATATTACTTTCTCCAAGTACAAATTTAGTACCTACCTAAAATAAGTACTAATTATGTAATATCGTGTAATATTGTAATTCAAATTTCACATTACTATAAAGTTTCAAAATTCCCTACTTCGGTATGGTCAGATAAAAATTGAATATATTATATTAATAAAAACTGTCAAAGTATTACTTCTACAAATCTGTATTTCAATTAATAAGAATACATCTAAATATAACCAATATTGTTAAAATAAAAGCACAAATTCTTTATAATTCCAAAATACCAGAGTTCCCAGACCTCAGTCGAAGCATTCGTTTATCTAGGTATAAACCCTTTGCGCGAAGAGTAACACTTGCCAGAGACACGGGGTACCACTTGATTTGCATCCACGAGCGTGACACAATTCTTTAACAATTGAAGCCCTTGGTGTAAAAAGGATCCAAACCACAATTTGTCGGGAAGTGACTGTTTTAGCTCAAAACATTTGTTAACCAGGATTTTACTAGCCACATACAAATTATTTTACCTCTAATCCGAAAGATGTGCTATTTTTCGTAATATTTATATTTAAATAATGTTTCTAATTATATTTGACAGATTTAAAACAAATTAAAAATTTAATTTCCCAAAACTTACTTAATATGGCATGTAACCAATCTTATTACGCCAAGGTTTTCAATTTTTCAATAATAAAAAAATTGTTTAATCCGGGCCCGACTTTTCCCTCGAATCTAACAGAGATAGCACCATTCCGTCTTGCTTGGTTCTCGACCGCCAGATCAAAGACGCCGACACGGAGTTGTGGAGCTGTATTGTATAAGCTGTGCTAATATTACTGAGTTTTATTATTAATAAAACTCTACCTACACACTTTTAAATACTTTCGATTCATTTCTTATTACCCAGTGTGTACACACCACTCAACCTCTTCTTTAATAACAAATATGTTATGAACAAGTTTTTAATCTTATGGAAACACCAAACAAGTTCAATTTGTTTGGAACTTTGCTCTGCTGGAACAGTTATTTTGTACTGCGCATACTCAATATCTTAGGAACTCGCTTCGGGAACAAACCTATTAAAAAGAAACCATGAGCTCCAATTTTTTTTTGTCTGCAGCAAAGTGTGATACGAAAGTCATTGAAATAGAACTGTTATCAGTATTAAAAAGCGCACTGTTTTTACAAACATTACTGTGGTAGCTACGAAATAAATAAATGAATAATTGCATTGACGTGTGCATTTTAAATCTTGTTGACACGTTGATCTTTTAGGCTTCCAATATTAATTTATTGAATTTTGTTGGTAAATTTAATTCAATAATGGGATACGTTCTTGCATCTTGCAATGCTCATGAAGCAAGAAGGTTGTATGAAGAAAGATATCCTAATGGCAATATTCCAAATGAGAAAACATTTCAGCGACTTGACCAACGTCTAAGAGAGACTGGTGGGCGATTCCCAGTTAATAAGGTAACATTATTGACTTTCTTTAATAATTTTTAGGAAGTTTTGGGGAAACGAGTACTGCTGCTGGTGTGAAAAGAACAGTACGTACGGTACAAATGGAGGAAAATATTTTGGATACTGTAGCTGATACTCCTTCAATAAGCACTCGAAGAAGCCACGCAGCTTCAAGTGTCAAAAACGACAATTGCTGAAGTACTTAAAGAACAGTTGTTATACCCTCAACATCTGCAAAAAGTGCATTAACTACTTCCTGAAGAATCCAGTTCGCAAACTGGCTGATAGATCAGCAACGAACAAACGAAAACTTCATTAACACTATTATTTTTACCGATGAAGCAGGGTTTACCAAAAATGGTATTGTAAATTTACATGGGCTGATGAAAACCCTCATGCTACTGTTGTTCATCATTATCAACATCAGTTCCAATCAATTAATGTTTGGGCAGGAATAATCGTCAATTTTTTTATTGGACCA